CCCCCCGCCCCGGTGCAAATCCTGCTTTCTTCTGCATAAATGTGAAACAGAAGTAGAGGGGAGAGGAACAACATTCTCTGGCAGGTAGAATCCTCAAGAAGGAAAAATTTACTGCATAAGGAAGCTAGAGCTAAGAAAAGACCTAGCAAATAATTATAGGCTCATACTGCCACACTTACAGATGAATGGACAGAAAACTAAATTTTTATCACTTAAAAGCCAGTATTTTGTTTTCTTCTGTATTTTTTTGTAATTGCCAGGGTGGGGTGGGGGAGAAAGCACCCCCTAATGGGGCATGGTCACGCTGCAGTCTTCTACATTTCTCCATTCTCTCTGGCTTTTTGGACATGCACATATATGTGACCAACATGTGTTTCAAGCCACTAGGGAAGGAATTTGAGCCATACTTGGCTATTCGGGATCTGAATCCCTTAACCAAAACTACAGGGCTAGCCCTTTTTAAATTTTTGTGTGTTAAGTTTTGCTTAAGGTTGGGTGTGCTCATCAGTTAGAGAGAACACGAGTAGTCAGACAGCCATCCCATCTCCACTTATCCCTCTTTTTGGAATTTCGGGCATTCATACACATACTCCTGGCATATTTTTCAAGCTGGGGGGTCCAGGACTGGAACCATCGATCTACCATGATGTGGGATCCTGTTACCTTAACTGCTATGTCACCAGCTGTCCCTTTTCTTCCTTTCTTTCTTTGTTTTTCTTTTTTATTTGAATCTTCTACAAGGGTGTGTGTGTGTGTGCTCAGCAGAGACAGAGAATTTGGAAAGAAATCCCTCATCCCCCCTGGGAATGACCATGTCGTAATCCCTTCTCACAGGATTTGGGCACACACATATTCCCAGCATGTTTCTCAAGCTGCTGGGTCTAGGACTTGAATTGCACAGTTGGCCATGTGGGGATCCACCAGCACACCACAAACTGACACCTAGTTTTATGTTCTGGTCAGGTTGTAATTGAATAACATACACGCTTTTAGTTTAAAGGATGACATTCACCTGATCAGGTTTTAAAAATTGTTGTGTTATTAAGAACTTCAGAAATAATATGCTCAGTTAGCACTGAGAGTAAATGCTTTTAGTCCGAGTGAAATTGTAGTTGTCTTGTCCCTCTACATACATAGATGCTTTATTGTTATTATTCCTATATTTGTAACCCTAAATGGAAATGAAACTTGATTCATTACCCAATCTAAAAGTAATTCAGTGCATAAAATAAGTATTATCTATGAAAGAGGTTGTTTTACTTGTAAAGTCTTATTTTTAATTTTTTTTTATTAGGTAATCACATAGTTCAAACTTTTTCCTAAAAGTAAACAGTGAAGTCTCTCTACCTTTTCACTCCATCCACCCATTTTAATCCCCATCTCTAAAAGATACGTTCCATTATACTTCTTAGTTCTTTTTCCATTTCAGAATGTATGGGGGCTCCTTTTCACCCTTGTTTTATGTCTTGCTTTAACATGTATGTGGTACTCAGTTTTGTAGATCTTAAGAGATTCTAGAATTTACTTAGTCCCAAATTCCCACCCCCGTCGTCTTTTTACTAACTGTTGTAATAAATAACCTTGCAAATATATCAATTTTGCATGTGCAACATATTTATAACATATATTTATAACATTTTCAGAATAGGGTGGAATAGGGCTGATTGGTGGCAGAGTGGGAGCTGTGAAACTGTGAGGCAGATTTGTATGAGAGAGGGAATTCCAGGTTTGTGTCTGGAGAGACAGGTCCATTATTTGGGAGTGGGTTGAGTGGATGATATCTATTGGGATGCTACCTCTGTCTGTTTCAGTCCATTTTTCTTGCTAAATAAATAAACAGATAGAAACTTTAAAAAATGATAGCGTGGAAGCATTTAAATCTTGAATAGACTGAATTTTAAAGAGGATTCCCAGGTTGGATGCCCAGTAGGCAGCTGTAAACATAGCTTTAGGGAAAAGGTCTGAGAGTGTTCAGCCCTCTGTTAGCTTTCTTCCTCCTCCCACTCACCAGATTCCTGTTAATCCTGGTCTTCATTATCTCTGGCCTTCCTTGACTGCAGCAGATTTGTCCCACCACAACTTTGACCTTTTAGTCCACTCCACACTGCTGTACTAAAACTTGGTTCTTTGTGTTACTTTTACATATTTACAAATTTGTCTACCTTTTCGCTCCCCCAAGTTATACATAATGTACCAAAATTGTGTGCCCAAGGACATTGCTGTTCTTCTCTCCTAAAGTCTGTACAAGCAGTCACATTCCCTCTTACTAAAAACAGTAACTGAATTACCGTCAGAGATTTAAGAAGTGAATCTGGTGGGGAACTTGAATATTTCGTATAAGAGAATATAGGGAGAAGAGGAAGGACATTTTATTAAGACAGTGACAAGTATTTATTCCAATAAAGAGAGAGGTCACTGAATTTATTGTTAGTCTTTAACCATCTTGAAAATAATTTCATTAGAATAATGGAGATGGAATCAATGACATAAAGTTTGGCTTTAAAGGGAATATGACGGCAGCTCAAAAAATGCAGCAAGTGTTTTAAGATAAAGGCCAGACTGAAAAAAGGACAACTTGATGATTTTAAAATTCAGTGTTACACAGGCTTCCTCAGTTTTTGTGCTGTTGTCACATGGGGTTGGGTAACTCTTTTTTTGTGGGGCCCTCTTTTGTAGTTTGTCTAGCATTGTCCTCTGAACTGCCAGGAGCCGTCCCCAGTTGTGACAACCAGAATCCATTGCCTGATGTCCACTGGGAGATAGGGGGTATAAGATTGTGCCAGGTTGAGAATTGAGGAAATGGGTATGGTGTGGAAGCAGAGAGGAAAGGTCATGAGGATGGCCTGAATTTTCTTACCAAAGAGGAGAAATCTGTAGTGGAATATGGGAAATTGGTTGCTTAGGATTGAATGAGTTGAGGTTGCTGCAGGAGTTAGTTATACTAGTGTCCCTTTGACATTAGATAGCATTTTATAGTCAGCCAGGTCAAAAGACTTCCTATTTTTTGTTCCACCTCTAGGAAATCGAGTCTGTAGTCTTTCTTGGTTGTAAATTAACAATATAATGTAGACCCACTGGGGATTATTTCTCCTATAATTTTTGTATGCCTTTGTAATTATTAAGTTACTGGTAGATAGCATACTCTGAATAAATTCATGCCTTGGTTTACAGTTGGCAATCTGTTAATCTGATGCTCTGAAACTATAAAGGTACATAATAAAACAAAATGTATACTAATCTCAAGACATAGTTACGGGAACTTTTCCATTTTCAAAGTTGAAGTGCTTTAATTTCCTCAATTCTTTGTCCTCTACCATCAGCATAAAACCTACCATTGGCAGGTTCTATGAAATGTGCTATATTTTATATTTGTATTAATTATATGTGGTCACTTGCTGTCCAGTATGTTACTAATGAATGCATGGAATTCTTTGAAAGTTCTCATTTTCACTTTTACCTTTCAGGCTGAAGAACAGTTGAGAATTGTTGAAGAACAAAGAAAGATTCATGAGGAAAGGATGAAACTAGAACAAGAGCGACAACGTCAACAAAAAGAAGAACAAAAAATTATCCTGGGCAAGGGAAAGTCCAGGCCAAAACTGTCCTTCTCATTAAAAACCCAGGATTAAATTGCAAACTCTGAACTTTTTACAAAAAAAAAAAAAAAATGGAAAAACTTTGTATGGTAGCTTCATGTTGAAGTGTTTTTGTTTTTGTTTTGTTTTCATTTTTTTTTTTTTAAATTTGGAAAATCTGGAAAGTTAGCTTGTTCTAATAGGGGCTGTGCTCTGCAATCCCTTTCTCCCCTCTTCTCCCACTTAACTTTTATTAAGTCAAACCCTTATCAGATCATTGTTGTCTTCTAAAACATGATATATTTTTCACCTGTTTGGATTCTATATTAGTGGTCTGAAAGAAGAGCAGATCACTTGGTAAACTGTGGATGGTCTGATAAGGTTTTTACTGACCCACTGACTTCAGAGTTATACTCTGTTTACTACATCATAATGCTGGTTTTGCTGACTTTTTGTTTTTTTATATATTTATAAAAAAAGAAAAAGTTGGTACTTGCATTGGAAAATTCCCAGGCTGTTACTGGACCCATGTGCTGTATTGTTAAAGCAGTGTCCTTGTGACACTGTTGCTCGATGTTCCTGATACAGGTAAGGAAAGAGTTGGTCAGCTGGGATGCACACACATACACAGTTCAGTATTGTCTCTGTTCGGTTTGTTTTTATTTCATTGACAGACTCAAACCAGCATTCCCCCTTGTGTAAATAAATGATTTTGCTGAATAAAGTAAAGTCTTAAATTCATATGTTTAAGCAATTTTTTTTAAAGTTCTGTTAAGTCTTAAAGAGGGTGGTTTACTTTTTGATGGTCAGTAGTCTTAAAAGTCTTAGAGCTATATTTCCTCTCATTTATACTTTGAACATAGGATTTATATGTACATTAAATATACTTGTGAATTAGTACTTAATGGCTATTTTTACAAATATCTACTTTATGCTGATGGAGCAATTATGACATCAGTATTACTACCTTTGAGAAAGACTAACAACACCCAGAAAGAGATTTAAATTCTCAAACCTGTGCCTCTGTTTTAAGATACAAGTATTATCACCACAAATTATACATAATAAAGATTAGAAAAATACTTTAAAAAATGTATGGAATCTTAGATCTTATTCAGATTAGGCCATCAGAAAGAACTTAGCTTTGTACTTTCAAAAGAAAGGCTAAGGTAGTCAGTCATCTTAGATGTAGCATAATTGCACGTTTATTTTTGCAACAAACATTTAAACTTTTATAGGATTTTGCTTTTTTTTTTGCATGTGGAATCTTACAGATGGCTCTTTCATTTTATACACTATAATCTGTTTCCTTTATTCTTACATACTTGATTTAAGTGTACTGTAGTATTAAAACATTCACAGAAAGGATATCGATAGAAAAATGCTACCTGAGATGCATACACATGACATCATTGTAAAGAAAATTCTCCCAAATTTTGGAGAGAGTTTGATTACTCTTAAAAATTGAAAACCTAAGTTAATGAGGTGGCTAAATGATGGATTATTTGTGTGCATGCTAAAAAAAATGCTATTGCTTTAGTTTTGAGCTGTTTGAGTCTTAATTGTGGTAAGGAACAATAAAATCAGTTTAAATAGCTTTAAAGATAGAGTTTTAAATAGGCATGATTTGTAGTGAGAACTTTTAGTAAACATACCTCTTACTCTAAAATCAAAACATTCACTTTATCCCCTAAAGAATATGAATTAGCTTTCAGTCTTTTTTATCTCTAGATACAGGTTAAGTCTAATTTTAATTTCATGATTCTTACACTTTTTTAAAAATGTAACTTCTTCGGGGGTACAGATTCATTGTTCTCTAAGTTCTGTATTCAGGTTTTTGGAAATGTTTATTTAAAAATTGTTTTGTTATACACATGTTCCAAACATTGTAACTAAAGAGAGTAGTCTGGCCTTCACATATTTGAAATCAGCTTATGCGTGCCTTTTAGGTTTTTGGGGGTTTTTTTTCTGGTTTTTTTACATAAAAATAAGTTTCTGCCAAATATAGTGTGAAATCACAGTAAGTTACTTAATGACATATTGCAGTATCTGCTTGCTGTTGGAGACTCACATGAGATACTGAAATTGTTCCTGTGTTTGGTAACTGACTACTATTTGCCGGGCCACAGGAAAGAGGATGTGATTGTTAATATACACCCAGTCTTTTCTTTGCTGCACAATGTAGTAATTTGTTTTCTTCATTTGTTTCCACTGCTTTTGTGTACATATTATAAAAGTTAAAATTTCTCCCAATTAGCGGTTCTTCAGATGTTCCCTAATTTATTAAATATGCCTTTATTCACAATTTGTTTTTTAGGTTATTGATTCTTATGCATTATAGAATTAATGACTGTTTATTTCATTACACTATTTAAAATGTGTAGTTATTGCCATTTATATTGTGGAGTTTGCAGAATTATCAATTGTATAAACTAAATGTTTAAATTAGCTTGGTGTGAGGACTCTTTAATGCTTCAAATAGGGGAAGGGGTCTGTAGTTTTAAGATTTACTACCTCAGTTACCCCAATGAAGATGTAGTCAATTGGACTTTTTGTCCTCGATCTCCTCAGGTATTTAATTGTGCTAGTATATTGGCCATGGTTCATATTGCCACCTAGATAAAGCAGTACCTTGGGGATGGTCGTTGGTTTTGTACTTTTTAATTTTCTGAAGTGAAAACGAGCACAGGATCCTGGCTTGTTGAGCTGCGTGTGTCATTTCCAGTGCCATCTTTTAATCAAGGAGCCTCTGTTTGTCACTTAACTAAAATTTCTCCAAAGCTGTGGCATAAGCTGGAGCTTCTGTTTTCAGTTGTCTCAATTTTTTGCTCCTTTACACCCAGAGCCATCTCTTTTGTATTATTGGCTATGAGAAAGTACTGAATACAAGTTAGTATTTTCTCTTAGTTCTTGAGACTCCCATCTCCTCCTATGCCTTGTGAAGAGACAGAAACTACTGTGTTAATAATTGGTGGAAAGACCTGAAGGGATAGGAAGGGCCACAGGCTAGATGTGTGGAAGCCCAAGCAGTGGGCCCTACGTTTTTATTGTTGAAGTTCCACTTAACAATGTCTTGATTTCTTCACTACCACCATTGTTATTGAATGCTTTTGTTTATTATAGTAGTATTTTACATATAGTAGTTTTTTACATTTCAGCTGGCCTTGATCATGGAGGATCTAGTGGTGCAATAACAGAAACTTTGCATTTGTTCATTCACTGCACTGCTTTTTTTCTCTGTAGTGGGTTTGCCATTACACAAGATGATTAGATTGTGTTGCCTGACCTGTTACAGTATGTTTATAATTACTTTAGAGTAACTGGTTTTGGAGTTGGGAATCCATGGGAAGGAGGAATACAGAACACCAAATAAAAATTTAGGGGAGTGTGTACATGAGCTAATCTCATCTCACAAAATTTCTTTGAAACTTGGATTGACAAAATAATAGAAATTAGGAGGCTTGCTTTTACATCTCTTTGGGTGCTCTACAGATTTAGTGATACATGTTTTTTTTTTTTTTTTAAGATTTATTTACTTAATTTTATTCCGTTTAATTTGACCAGAGGGAGACACACACACACACACACACAGAAGGTGAGAAAGCAAGCCACTAGGTCCAAGACTCGAACTGTGGTCAGCTATGTGGGATTGTCCGTGCCTTAACCACTACACCACCTGCTGGTCCCAGTGCTATGTGTTTTCATGTTCACATTAAACTTGTTTGGAAGTCACATTTCAAAGGAAGATGGCTCTTCCTAGCCTCAAATAGTGTTTGATCAGAGGATGTTGGAACAGTTGGGTTTTTTATACTTGTAATTTTCTTTTTTGACTTTTTCTCTGTTTGAAGCCCTTACAGTAAAGATAATTATCTTCAGTGATCCACATTTTCATTATCACTCAACCAAAGTTTGTGTGTGTTTAATGGTATGTATGTATTGTGCTAGCAGGTAGCACAAAGATTAAGGGCCTGGATTCCTTCTGGCCCACTGAGTAGTTCTAGTTCTGGACCTTAGTGGCTTAAACCGCAAGACCTGAGTGTTGCTTGCTCAAAATCCCATGAGGAGGACAAGTTCAGGGGATTGTGGTGTAATCATCCCTCATGGGGACTGACTTCTCACTTTCCCCATCTTAGTTGCTATAAGTGTACGTGCCCTATATAGCAAACTTAAAAATGTTTCTAAGATTGCTAGAACACTAACCTGGCTTCTTAGGGTTACAAGAAAACCCCAAAAATGTGTTGTTCATGGTATACATTTGGATGACTGTTCACTTATTTTCTAAAAGGCTTAAACTACAAATTAAATGAAAGCTAATTTACATAATTACCATCGTTTCTAAGTGCTATCTAACCCTGTAAAGGGGGACAAAGGAGACAAATCAGTTTTATAAACCCGTAAGAGGTCTCCTCGTGTCTGATTAGCAATACTTGCCGCTTACATGTTTAACTTTGTGTTTTCATACACAGTTGTGTTAAGTAAGTTTGTAAAGTGGGACTCCGTTGAGAGAGGTTGCATTAATAGACTAAGCGATGCGGTAGCACAGCTAGCTGTTGCCACAGCTACCTAGTCCTAGAAGTGACGGAGACAACTCGGCTCAGCCTCCAGACTTACAGGTTGGCAGATGTGGAAATGAGGTTTCATGCTGGGTGCCCAAGCTAGTTGGGAGCTAGGTTGTATTTTCTATGTATGTGGTTTTTGCACTAATGCTACAAAAGAAATGACAGATGAAGCTAGAGATTTATATGACTAGTGGAAAATAGGGTCTTTTGCTTTTATAAAGATTATGTTCAACTACAAGCTAAGAGTTGTCAACCTCCTACAAGAAAACGGTTCTCTTGTCCAAAAGTCTAATGTGACAGTACTTTTCCTACCAATCCTAAATAAGGAGACTCTTAATTTACTATGCTGCTCTGTGATCATAGGAATTTTACCAGGTAGATTGGGAGGGAGTGTAAGGTACGAATGATTTTTAAGAAAGGGTTATATTTTTTTCTTCAGAAAAGATCTTTCCCTCAGGTGAATTAGACAAAGCAATTTTTGCTAAAATTTCAGTGACTTGCAGGGAGTAAACATACAATGTCAGGAAAAGGGTGCAATTTCAGGAAAGGCCTAGAGCTACATAGGAAGTGTATGGCTTACAGGATGGCTAAGCAGCACACCCAAATCAGTTAAGTTCTGTACGGGTACATTCAGATAAACCTGTATGCTGAAGTTATGTTGCATACGTGTTTTGAAGTATGTCTTAGAATTGATGCAGCACTGTATAAGGAATACGTAAGAAGCAAAGTCTTTAAGTGATAATTTAGGCCAAAAACGTAGGAATTCAGGTAGGTGCAGATTCATGGGTAAAATTGATCTTTTCTTCACCTTTTTAAAAAAAGTTGCTATAGGACATGTTCACTGGCTGGAGAGACAGCAGAGAGACAGACAAAGTGAGAAATCACCCTGTGGGGGGGTGGGGTGGCCACGCTGCAATCCCTTCTCCATTCTCGGGATCTTGGGCACACGTGTAAGTACACAAGTGCCCAGAATGTTTGAAACCTCTGGGTCCAGGACTTGAACTGCTCTCCACTATGTGGGAGTCAGGTGACATAAATATGCCATCTGCTGGGCCCTGATGCTCCCTCTTTTAACAGATTACCCAGTTTTTAATAGATTACCCAGTTTTTTATATTTACCACATTCTATATTTGCATTTGTAATTGACCATTTGAAATTCCTGAATATTTGATGTTCATTCTAGAGAACAGGTAACTTTTGGAATAATATCTCTGATGTCGATGGAGTTAAATCAACCTGGTGAAATTACAGATTTTCAAAAATAACTTTTTTGTAAGAATGGTAAAATGAAGTCCAAATAAGTATTTAGACTGGTGTGGTTAGTTCCTGGTTTGGTATGCTTTTGCATTTCTACTTTGTGCACCTTGCCAATATTAATTTTTGCCTGTCTGATAGTAAGTCAAAATAGTTGGAGGTGGTGCTTTTGTTTACTGAAAATACCGTCTCAACAGCAGTGGGAGGTGGACAGCGTGAAGTTGATTGCTACTGCCCTTGCTTTCCACATAGTCTACAGTGAATCTGTATTTACTGAAAGTAAGCTGATGAATGTTCTAGAGCTTTAAAGTTACACAATAGGAATCTTTGTGTAGGATTTTTTTCTGTTAAATAAACACTTCACTTTTAAAAAGAAAAATTTAAAGCGATTCATATATTTTATTTTCCCCACAGTAATGTGTTTTGGACGTGAGAAATCTGATTTACTGAAATAGTGTTTTTTGGAAGCTGGGTTATTTTTAGACAATGCAAATTTTACTTTATTTCCTTTAGTTCATTTGGAGAGGATGTAGCAAACTAAGAGGTCACAACTTCAACTTCACAGTGTTTGCTAACATTACAAGATCATGAAGCTAGCCTTAATATTCGCTTTCAATGAATTCCTTAACGGATTCTTTTAGGTTTATTTAAAAGGAATCCCTTTTAATCCTTGTGAAAATCACAGCGCCTGCCATTTCCTGGTTTTCTAGTCTTTCCTGGGAATCTACCCATTAGCTCTAATTGGTATGCAGTGTTTGAGCCTTAAAACAAACAAAAAGAATACTTATTTAATAAAACTGATAATTATGAAAAATAGCATTGTTCGCTCCTCAAATATATTTGGAAGAATAAGTGGGCGCTTCGCGTGCCCTTGTGTGTTTTTAGTTCTCTACAAACTTACACACTTCCGTCGAAAGGACATTAACTTTAGTTAATGTTTCATGAAAGGAATACCGAAAAGCAACGCACCAGAGGAGTCTTGAGAAATTTTTGTGAGGAACTCTGAAAGAGAAACTAACATGTAGCTACAGTCGTCTGTCTTCTCGAGTTTAGCTTGGCGGATAATTTTGTTAAATATCATTTGTAGGAATACTGTCCAGTTAGTTGGTTTGAAACGTAAATAAATCCTGGCGGGGGCAGCGTTTAAAAACAAAACAATAAAAACACGTGGACCTATAACATCTTTTCTGGTTTCTTTCCAACCGGTGAATTGTGTGTACATCCGTACCCTGCCGTATTCCACCGAGTCCTCCCTGCTCTTGGGCTCTTGAGATTCTCCTGGGCACTTTCCGCCTCGGTTACCGGCTGGATCCGGTGGGTCGACTTCGGCGCCAAAGGAAAGCGGGGCGCTAGTGGGCGCTGTGGGTCCGTGAAAGTCAGACGCGGCTGGCCGGCTGCGTCCAAGCTGTTCTTTGGGGAGAGCCTGACGGCGAATCTAATCCTGAATTCGGCCCCCTCGTCCTTCGGGGCTTTTAGACGAGGAGGAAGCGCAGGCACTCACTTGGACACCCACATGTGTCTGTCCCCATCTCCCCTAAATTCCGGGTCACCTTGGAAGTGTGTCTCCGGAGTCGGGGTATAGAGGAAGCCTCGGGTGGCGAGCGCGGGCCTTCGCGGGGAAAGCTCCAAGGTGCGGCTCTCCCGGGGCGTGCGTCTCGGGGAAAGTGCGGGCAAAGCCAGGCAGACGCGCACGCCCTGGTCACGGCCGCGGATTCTCGGCGTTCCCGGGCCTGCTGGCTGGGGCCGGCCAGAGCTGGATGGAGTCCCTCCCAGGAGGCGCGGCGAGCGTCAGCCGTGGGGCCGCGAACACGAGGGTGGCGCGCCGCGGAGTTAGCCCTCAACCGAGGGAAACGTTTCGCCCTAGGAGTGGAAACCCGATCGGAACCCACTGCCTCCGACTCTACCACGGGAAGCTTCGCTCTCGAAGCCCCCCGCGTAAGCTGGGACAATTGCCAGGAAGAAGGCGCAAGGCTGGGCGCGGCGACACGGCCGGCGGGCAGCCGAGAGCCGGCACAGGTGGACCGTCGAGGTCCCTGCTTTCCGCTCGGCCGTCTCTACTGCAATGTCTCTCCCACGCCTGGGCGAGATCGCCGCCGCTCCGGGGCGCCCCGTGCACTCGCGGGGCCACTTCCCCGTCCCGGAGGTCTGCTCTCCTCTCGCCGCCCGCTTGGGGCCGGGGGCGGGGCTCACCTGTCAGCCGGCGCCCCGCCTCGCGGCGCCCAATGTCGGGCGGGGGCAGCGGACGGACGGGACAGCTACCCAACCAGCACGCAGCTGCGGCGCGTCGGGCCAATAGGGTGCTCGCCTCGGGGCGGGGCCCCGCGTTTATAGCGCTCTGACAGCGCGCCGGCCGCGCTGACTCTCCTC